TTCACGCATCTGCGACAGCTAAACGTACAACGCCTGACCGACGTTCGGGGCGTCGATCCTATGACGGCCGGGTGCACGGCCTGGCCCGGTCATCCCTCCTTTCGTGATAAGGCAGTTGCCATGTGGGTCCATCGTCCGGCAGAATTGCGTTTCTCGGCCGTGGTCACGGTGGGTATCGTCCTATCACCCACCCCGATAACCCCGGCCATCCAGGTGGAGCGCCAGCGCTTCCTTTTCCTCTCTGAGCTCGTCATGTCAGATCCAGACGGACGATTCACCGATGTCCTGGTCCGGATTGTGCGACTGGCGCTTTGCCGCTTTCTGTAAGGGATCACCCGCTCTTCTAACCGTTAGCTCGTGTCGTCCCTTAATGTTTCACGATGCACTCCTAAATCTTCCCCCCTATCACACTCCCAACTCCCCATCCTTCCCGTAGCTTCTTCAGTTATTGGTTCCTCCTTGTCGCCTTCATCACTCTTCTCTTTCTCTGCTCTGTGTCTTTTCAGTGAGCTCTTCTTGCTTCTTCCCTGCCTTTTTATATTTCCCTATACCTTTCGTCCCCGAGGTTCCCCTGTTCCCTCTCCCCCCGCGGAATTCGTGTTCCGCCCCCCCACCAAGCATCCTCTTCCTCCTCTCCATCGCGGCTTTTCCTTCCATCCGTTTGGGCCGATCACCACAATAGGCTCCCGTTCGCGCCGTGCAGACTGCGCAGGCCGGCGAACACCGCACGCAGTCCGCCATGCAGCCCACGGCTTTCAGCCCCTATCAGGACTCATGGACCACTTGCCCCCTACCGAATGTCTCGTCCTCCGCTCTCTGTTCTCCGGGTCCGCCGTGCTCCCCTGTCCCCCTCCCCTTTCTTCTTACCGACTGCTACCGGATTACCAAGTCGCTTCCGAACTCCCGTTCTCTTGCGATAATCGCACAGGGCCCAGTTCGCCGGCGCGTTGGTCGGAGACCGTGTCGGCGCTCACCAGTATACGCAACTCACGCCCCGCCTGGATCGCGTAGGTTTTCTCCACGCCATCGTACCCCCCGGCGATTCGCTCGAGATCCTCCAAGCGCTTCAGGTAGTTGTCGAGCGCTTCGCGCCGCGCCCCCGGACGCGACGAGGAGATGGTGTCCGCGATCTGGACGATGATCGCCTCGACCGTCTCGGGCTCGATGTCGTTGTGGTGCGATCCGATCGCGTTGCACACGATGTCGTTCTCACCGATCCGCTTGCCAGATCCATGCCGAGCTCGGCGTGGCCGACCTCTCCGTCGGAAACCATACCCTTGCCGACGTCGTGCAGCAGAGTCGCTCGCTTTGCCGACTTCGTGTCGGCTCCTACCTCCACGGCGATGAACCCCGCGAGCACCGCAGCCTCTTTCGAGTGGGAAAGCTGGTTCTGACCGTAGCTGGTCCGGTAGCGCAGGCGACCGAGGGCCGCCACCCCGTCCGGGTGCATGTCGTGAATGCCCAGCTCGAACAGGACCCGCTGCCCCTCTTCGAACAGCGTCTGCTCCAGTTCCCGCATAACCTTGCGCACCACCTCCTCGATACGCGCCGGATGGATGCGCCCGTCCGCGACCAGCCGCTGCAGCGCCTGCTTCGCGGTCTCCCTGCGAACCGGATCGAAGCACGAGAGGATGACCGCTTCCGGGGTGTCGTCGATGATGATGTCGACCCCCGTCAAGGTTTCCAGCGCCCGGATGTTCCGGCCCTCCCGGCCGATGATCCGGCCCTTCATCTCGTCCGAGGGCAGATCGACCGACGTGACGGTGGTCTCCGCGGTGACCTCGGTCGCCAAGCGCTGCATCGCGGTGACGATCACCGCCCGTGATTGCCGCTCGGCGCCCTCGGCGGCCTCCGCCTCGATGCGGCGCACCAAGTCATGCGCGTCCCGGCGGGCGTCCGTTTCGATGTTGGCGGTCAGTTGCCGTTTGGCTTCTGCGACCGTGAGTTGGGCGACTTTCTCCAGCTCGGCGTTGAGCGCCGCTCCAGCTTCGCCGACGGCGTCCTCTCGCTCCTGTACTTGCTGCTCGCGCGTGGCGAGTGCCCGTTCCTGACGACTTACGCTCTCGAGTCGCTCCTGGAGGCTCTCTTCCCTCTGACGGATCTTCCGCTCGTAGCGCTCAATCTCGCGCCTTTGATCGCGGGATTCGCGATCCAACGTCTCACGTTCGGCGAGCAGCAGGTCCTTTGTCTCAATGAGGGCTTCACGTTTCTTCTCTTCGGCCTCTCGTATCGCGTCTTGGAGAACTCTTTTTGCTTTCTGCTCCGAAGAGGAAAGCTCGAATCTAGCATATGACCATCGGACGAGCCAGCCGATCAGCAAACCGGCGAGAGGAAGAATGAAGAACCATACGAACTCCATTGCGTTCCTCCATGGTGGCTGGCGTCCACGGTACGGAGGCTGCCCGGCGAAGTCAAGGAGGAGGTCGCTCCTCCACGCCCACCAGCCCGAGCCGCAGCACGAGCGTATGGACGTCCCATGCGCTGTCGCCGTCCGGGGCGGTCAACAGCAGGTAGGCCGGCATTCCGTCCGCCTGGGCGGGTAGGAGCGCCAGGCGGCTGATCCGCGTGCTCGCGGCCCGGAGAACCGCGCCTCCATCCCGGTGAGCAACCATGGCGGGCCGGCGGCGATGAGCGCAACCCGTCGCGCAAGGTAGCGCGCGGACACCGGATCGTCGCTGGCAAACGCGAGCCGGTCCGCCGAACGCCGCAGGATGCCGTGCACCTGCGACGGCCGGTACCCGCCCGACCGGTCGCGGACCAGGAGGGCCGCACCGAGCGCGTCCGTCCTTCGGCACAGACGATTCAGCGTTCCTCTGAATCTCTCCTCCGCCTCGTCCTTCCCCTGGCCTGCCCGGAAGGCATCCAGGTCGACGCCGCGCGCGAATAACGGCAGCGGCTCGCAGTCCTGCGGGCGGACCGGAACTACACCGTCGTCGAGACGTCGGTCCGTCGCCGAGTCGCCGATCACCGCGGAAGCCAGCCGGCTCAAGCCCGGGTCGCGCCCCAGGAACCCGTCGTAGGCGTGAGGCTGAACCCGAAAGACACCGCCCTCCACCGCAACCGCCGGGAGATCGGTGGCGACCAGATCGAGCAGATCCCGGATGGTATGGACGCTGACGTGTGCCGCCGGTCTGGCCCGTTTCCGGGACGCATCCCGCTCCGGCCGTACGGACCCCTTGGATTGCTCGACCATGGGGAGCTCCTCGAGTTGCTCGGAATCCGCCGCTGACGGCGCGACCGCCCGCAGCTCCGCCGGCTGCCGCACGCCGCCTACCGCTGGCAGCTCTTCCAGTTCTCGAACTCTGGCGGGTCCCCCCCGCTCGTACTGCCCGGCGTCACCTTCGCGCGCTCCGGGAATTGGTTATAGCAGAGAACGCACGTCGCCACCTATCAGCCGCGCAGACGTCCCCACACGACCGCGCAGCCGCAGAGCACGAGCACGGCAACCGCGCATACCCTTCCCATCATCGTGGTGCTGCCAGCGCGGCGCACCCGAACCGCTTCGTGCGGAGCGCTGCCCGCAGCCAACAAGGTCTGGTCGAGGCTCCGGACCGGGCTACGGAGTCGGAAGCGAACACGTTCTTCCATGAGCCGGGCAAGAAACGTCATCGTGGAGCTGACCAGCGCTCCAGCCGTCCCAGGCAGCCGCAGGCGCGGATCGACCATGAGCCGCGAGAGGAAAAGCAACCCGCCGAGGCTGGCAGCCTTGCCCGCGCCGACCATCAGCGCGCCTTCGGTCACCACAACGCCACCGATCTGCAGGAGCACCCGGCCGGCGGGAGTGAGCAAATTGAACGCGACGGTCGCCGCAAGAAACACGATGGTGCGCCGCAAACGAAGCCGCGGCTGCACCAGCCACGCCAAAGAGGCGAAGGCTAGCGCCTGAGCGCCGCGCAGCAGCAGATCTTCCTGCGCCACCAGCGAGGCGGCCAACAACAGCCCGGCGGCCAGCCGCGTACCGGCCGACAGATTGCTGTCGATCCAGTGGGCGGCCGCAGCTCTCAGCGCCGGTAAGACCCAGCCCTTCGGCCTCGTTTTGCCTCTATCCCCAACCTCACCGAGTCCGTCGGATGCCCGCTTCACGCGGCAAGCCGAGGGACTCTCTCAGTTGGACGCTTCGTCCGTCTCGTCCGGACGGTCCATCAGCTCAAGAATTACCATTTCGCTGGCGTCCCCGTACCGGGGGCCGAGCTTGAGCACGCGTGTATAGCCGCCGGGCCGACTCTGGAAGCGCGGGCCCAGCACATCGAACAGCTTGGCCAACACGGCCCGATCATGTAGCCGCCGGGCTACGATCCGTCGACTGTGGACGCTGTCGTGCTTGGCGCGGGTGATCATCTTTTCCGCGCTCCGGCGCACGGCAAGGGCCTTGGCGCGCGTGGTGCGGATTCGTTCGTGGCGGAACAGGGCCGCCACCATGTTCGAATGGAGGGCCTTGCGGTGGCTCGGCGTGCGGCCGAGTGCGTTATAGCCAACGCGGTGTCTCATCTCACCCTTCCCGAACTCTCATCGGTTCCAACGCCGCGCTCATTCCTCGTCCGCCGTTTGTTCGTGAGCAGCCGTCTCAGCGCTCAACGCTTCCGCATCTGCCACGGCGTCATCATCGGCGCCCACGGCTTCGGCGCTGGCAAGGCGCTGGCGCACCGCGCTGTAGTCGCTCATGCCCAGTTGCAGGCCGCGCTCTTCCAGCCTCTTCTTGATCTCGTCGAGGGACTTGCGGCCGAAGTTGCGGGTCTTGGCGATCTCGTCTTCGGTCTTGCGGGTCAGATCACCGATCGTGCGGATGTTCTCGTTGCGGAGACAGTTGCTCGACCTCACCGACAGTTCCAACTCCTCGACAGGAGTGTCGAGCAACCGGCGCAGACGCTCGTCCTCGAGGTCCAGCTCGTCGTGGTCGCCGATCTCGTCCTCTTCGAAGTTGATGAAGATCGTGTAGTGATCCTTGGCGATCTTGGCTGCCTCGGCAACCGCGTCCTCCGGCTTCAGCGTGCCGTCGGTCCACACCTCGAGCACCAGCTTGTCATAGTCGGTTCGTTGACCGACACGGGTGTTCTCCACGCCGTACTTCACGCGCGTGATCGGCGAGAACAGAGCGTCGATCGGAATCGTGCCGACGATGTCGATGAAGCGTTCGCTGTTCTCCGCCGGCAGATAGCCGCGCGAGAACTCGATCTGTACCTCGATCTCCAGGTGTGCCTGGTCCATGAGTGTGGCGATCGGCAAGTCCGGGTTGGTCACCGTAATCCCTGCGTCCACCGCGAAATCGCCGGCGACGAGGCTCCCGGGCCCGGTGACTTCCCGGTAGATCGTCCGTTCCTCCACCCCTTCATCCAGCGCCAGCCTGACCTGCTTCATGGCATTGATGATGTCAGGAGTGTCCTCCACGACGTGCGCGATAGGCTCGAATTCGCTGGATACGGTGTGCGACGATCCGTCGCCTTCGCGGGTAGCGATGCGTACCGCTGTGATGGCGTAGCCCTGAATCCCCGAAAGCAGGATCCGCCGCAGGCTGTTGCCGATGGTCGCGCCGTAGCCGCGCTCGAACGGATAGGCGATGAATTTCCCGTAGGATGCCTCCACGTCGGTATGCTCGAAGACCATGCCCGTCGGGCGGTTGAGCCCCTTCAAGAGGTTTTTTCGCGCCATCAGCCCCTCACTTGGAATACAGCTCGACGATAAGCTGCTCGTTGACGCCCTCGAGGTCGGGCACATCGGCGCGCCGCGGCAGCGCCAGGACCCGCCCGCGCACCGCATCCGGGTCGACTTGCAGCCACGGCAGCGTGCCGGAGCGGGAGTACTCCTTCAGGCTGTCCTTGACCGCCGTCATCATCTTTCCCCGCTCACGCAGCTCGAGAACGTCGTCCTTCTGCACCAGAAAGCTCGGGATCGTCACCCGCCGGTCGTTGACCATCACGTGCCCATGCGACACCAGCTGCCGCGCCTGGCTGCGCGAGCTCGCGAAATGCATGCGATACACGACGTTGTCGAGCCGTTGCTCCAACATCCGCACAAGGTTCTCGGCGGTCACGCCGCGCTGACGGTTGGCGCGTTCGAAGAAAATGCGGAACTGCTTTTCCAGCATGCCGTACGTGCGCTTCACACGCTGTTTCTCACGCAGCTGGATGCCGTAGTCGGAAAGTTTCTGCATGCGTGCGCGCGGCGCCTTGCCCGGCTTGCCGCGCCGCTTGGTGATCTGGCACTTCTCGGAGTGGCAGCGCGAGCCCTTGAGGAACAGCTTCACCCCTTCCGCGCGGCACAGCCGGCAGGAGGGGCCGAGGTAGCGAGCCATCGCTACACCCGCCGCTTCTTCTGCGGCCGACAGCCGTTGTGTGGAATCGGCGTCACGTTCCGGATGGTGCGGACCCGCAGGCCAAGCGCCCCGAGCGATCGTACGGCCGACTCGCCGCCGCCGCCGGGACCCTTGACGAACACGTTGACCTCCATGAGGCCGTAATCCATCGCCTTTCGCGCGGCGGTCTCGGCCGTGGTCTGCGCCGCGAACGGCGTGGATTTCTTCGCACCGCGGAACCCGAGGGATCCCGCCGAAGCCCACGACACCGCGTTGCCCATCAGATCGGTTATCGTCACGATCGTATTGTTGAACGTCGCCTGGATGTAGACATTTCCCTCGCTGACCGCCCGTTCTCGTTTGCCTTTCGATTGAGCCATATAGCCATATATTGTTGCTCGCTACTTTCCTTTACTTGGCCGTGGGCGCTTTCTTCCTGCCCGCGACCGTCTTCTTGCTGCCCTTCCGGGCGCGTGCGTTGGTGCGCGTGCGCTGTCCGCGCACCGGCAGGCCGCGCCGGTGGCGGATGCCTCGATAGCAGCCGATATCCATCAGCCGCTTGATGTTGAGCGACGCTTCCGTGCGTAGCGGCCCTTCGACCACATAGTCGCTCTCGATCACTTGCCGCAGGTCGTTGACCTCCTCCGGCACCAGGTCGCTCAGCTTCCGCTCGGGATCGATCCCGGTCTTGTCGCAGATCGCGGCGGCCGAAGGCGCTCCGATTCCGTAGATGTAGGTCAATCCGACGCACACGCGCTTGTTCGGCAGATCGACTCCGGCAATCCTTGCCATGTCGTTACCCCTGTCGCTGTTTGTGTTCCGGGTTGTCGCAGATGACGCGGACGACGCCGCGACGCCTGATGACCTTACACTTCGCGCACATCTTCTTCACGCTGGCTCTGACTTTCATAATAGCCTCTACAGATTGCGGGCCCGTACGCGGCCCTTGCGGACGATACCGTCGTGATGATGCATTTTCAAATGCCCCCTCGATCTGACTCATCGTGTCCAGATCCACGCCGACCATGATCAGCAGCGACGTGCCCCCCATCAGAAAGGCAACGCTGGATGGAAACCTGAACAGCGCCTGGATGACCGACGGAATGATGGCGATCACCGCCAGGAACAGCGCTCCCGGCAGGATGATCCGGTTGAGTACCCTGGTAAGGTACTCCGTCATGTTGTCGGAGCTGATGCCGCGGATCGAGCCGCCGTTCTCACGGATCTGCTTGCTGATCTCGACGGGATTCAGAGTGACCTGCGTATAGAAGTAGGCGAAGAACACGATCAGCAGCGCGTAGAACAGCATGTACGGCAGGCCGTTCGGCGTCAGCCAACCGGCGAACCGCGAAAGCCACGGCAGGTCGCCGCCCAGGTTCTGAGCGATCTGCAGGGGAAAGATCAGAACAGAGGAAGCGAAGATCACCGGGATGACGCCGGACGGATTGATCTTGAACGGCAGATATGCGTTCTGCGCGCCGTACACCTTGCGGCCGATGACCCGTTTGGCGTAGTTGACGGGGATCCTCCGCTGACCCTGCTGTTCATAGATCACCAGTGAGATCACGCCGATGAACGCGCCGAGCACGAGAACGAAGAACACCGGGTTCAGGTCCCCGCGCTGCACCTGATTGATCATCAGGTAGATCGCGTCCGGAATGCGTGCGACGATGCCGGCGAAGATAAGCAGCGATATCCCGTTGCCGATGCCGCGCTGGGTGATCTGCTCGCCGAGCCACATCAGAAAGATCGTGCCCGCGGTTACCGTCACGGTCGCCAGCAGCGTGAACGGGATGCGATCCATGATGATAGCGCCGGGGATCTGGCCGGCGAATGTCGTGACCGTCAACGACTGAATGATGCAGACGCCGACCGTGGCGATGCGCGTGTAGCGCTGGATGCGCTTGCGGCCACCGTCCTCCTGGGAAATCTTCTTCAGCTTCGGGAATACCAGGACGAGCAGCTGCATCATGATCGACGTGGTGATATACGGCACGATCCCCAACATGAAGACGGGAGAAGTTCGTGAACGCTCCGCCCGAAAAGAAAGTCGAAGTAGTCGGTGATTGCCGATGCCACCCGACTGCTGCGCGGCGTAGATAGTTCTTCACCGTGCCGACGTCGATGCCGGGAATGGGCAAGAATGCACCGATCCGAAAGATCACGAGAACCATCACCGTGAACAGGATTCGGTCGCGCAGGTCGCGAATCCGAAAGATGTCGAGCAGCGGATTTGCCATCAGTTCGACTCGTCGGCTGCCGGATCGTCCGAAGCGGCGTCATCGGGTCCGTCGCCGGTAACATGGATCGAACCGCCGGCCGCCGTCACCTTCTGCCGAGCTCCGGCGGATGCGCGATCGAGCCGCACGGTCAGTGCCCGTTCAAGGGCCCCCGATCCGAGCAGCTTTACCGGCACTCTGACCGACCCGATCACGCCGGCTTCGACGAGTGCCTGTCGGTCGACGGCAGTGCCGTTCTCGAAGCGGTTGAGGTCACGCACATCGATTGTCTGGTATATCTTCCGGAACGGGTGGTTGCTGAAGCCGCGACGAGCGATCCGTCGATACAACGGCATCTGCCCGCCCTCGAACCCGGGACGCGCCCCACTTCCCGCGCGCGATCGCTGGCCCTTGGTGCCGCGGCCCGAGGTGTCGCCACGACGGCCGGCCGAACCGCGACCGACGACGCGCCGCTTGCGTGTGGCGCCGGCCGGCCGGCGTATCCGCGGTGCTTCCGCGGGGCTGTCAGGTACGTCGCTCATGATATCTCCTCGACTGATATCTCCTCGACGGTCAACAGGTAGCGTACCTTGCGGATCATGCCGATGACCGGCGGGGATGCGGTGTGCTCGACCGAGGAACCGATGCCGCGCAGGCCGAGCGCCGCGACGGTGGGCGCGGTGCCGGGGTTGGCGCCCGATGACGCTGCGGGCAAGCGTCACGCGCACGCGCGCGCCGTCCGCAAGCCGCAACGGGGCGTCAGGGGATAGGGCAGCCACTAGCGCCACAGCTCCGCTACGGTCTTCCCACGCCGGGCGGCTACCTCGGACGCCTCCATGATCTGACCCAGTCCCTCAAACACCGCCTTTACCAGGTTCATCGAGTTCTGCGAGCCCAGCGACTTGCTCAGCGCATCACGCACGCCGGCCGCCTCCAGCACGGCCCTCACCGGGCCGCCTGCAATCACGCCGGTCCCGGGAGCCGCCGGCTTCAGCAGCACCTTCGCGCCCTTGAACACGCCGTTGACCTGGTGCGGAATGGTGCCGGCCCGCAGCGGTACGCTCACCATGTTGCGGCGCGCCCGTTCCGATCCCTTGCGAATCGCGTCGGCAACGTATGCCGCCTTTCCGAACCCATAACCGACGTGGCCGTTGCGGTCGCCGACCACCATCACCGCAGAAAACGAGAATCTGCGCCCACCTTTGACTACCGCGATGCGATTGAGCCGCACGAGTTTCTCGAATCCATCACCGCGATCGCCGCGTTCCCGGTATCTGTCGCTCACCGTTACTCCTCGAAACCTACAGCACGATGCCGGACTTGCGTGCGCCGTCCGCTATCGCCTTGACCTTGCCATGATAAGGATAGCCGTTGCGGTCGAACACGACACAGTCTATCCCACTGACGCGCAACCGTTCGCCCGCCAACTCACCGAGACGGCCGAGGTCGCCGCGCGCGGTTGGGCACGTCGACCGCGGCCTCGCGATTCGAGACCGCCACCACGGTGTGCTCGGCATCGTCGTCGATCACCTGCACGTAGGTGTATCGATTGCTCTTGAACACCGTCATGACGCGGACGGGTGGCCGTGCCATGCACCTTGCCGCGAATGCTCCGCTTGCGGCGAAGACGACGCACCACCTTGGCCGGCGCACCCATCAGTCTGTACCTCCCACGGCCGACTTGCCCACCTTGCGTCGTACGTGCTCGTCGGCGTAGCGGATACCTTTTCCCTTGTAGGGTTCCGGCGGCCGCACCGACCGCACGTCGGCGGCGAACTGCCCAACGGTCTGCTTGTCGATCCCGGAGATCAGGATGCGGTTGCCACCTGCCACCTGGACCGTGAGATCGGCCGGGATCTGCATCTGCACCGGGTTCGAATAGCGGGCGTCCACGACCAGGGCCTGGCCCTGAACCTCGGCGCGGTACCCCACGCCGCTGATCAGGAGCTCGCGCGTGAACCCTGCCGACACCCCGGTGACCATATTGGCGATCAGATTACGGGTCAGGCCGTGGATCGCTCGCGATGAGCGTTCCTCGTCGGTACGACTGACAGCGACCTTCCCGTCGGCGACCTCGACCCGAACCGTTGCCGGCAGCGGCCTGCTGAGCGTGCCCTTGGGACCGGCGACGTCCACCCTGCTGTCCTGGACCGCCACGTCCACACCCGCCGGCACGGGTATCGGAATTATCCCTATCCGTGACATCCGACTACCACACGCTGCAGATCAACTCGCCGCCGACCTGCTGATGAGTTGCCTTCCGGCCGGTGATCACGCCGGACGCGGTCGAGACGATCAACGTACCGTAGCCGTTCAGAATCGCAGGCATGTCGCGGTAGCTCCGATATACGCGGCGCCCCGGCTTGGAAAGCCGCTGCACTCCCCGGATCACCGGCCTGCGTTCGTCGTCGTACTTGAGAAACACCCGCACCGGGCCCTGACCGTCCTGGCCGACACGCTTGAAGTTGCGCAGGTAGCCTTCGGTCTTCAAGGTCTTGACGATCTCCAGCTTGAACTTCGACGGCACGATGTCGACGCTTTCGTGCCCTGCCATGCCTGCGTTGCGGATCTTGGTCAGCATGTCCGCTACCGGATCGGTTACACTCATATCCTCACCAGCTCGATTTGGTTACTCCGGGTATCAGCCCCCGGCTGGCAAGATCCCGGAAGCAGATCCGGCACATTTCGAATCGACGAAGGTAGCCGCGCGCCCGTCCGCAGCAGCGGCACCGGTTGACCTTGCGTGTCGAGAACTTGGGTTTGCGCTGTGCGCGCACGATCAGTGCCTTGCGTGCCACCTATGCCTCCATCGCCCATAACCGGACGCGCGCTCGGTCACCGCTTCCGCCGGTCGTCGTCCGTGCCACCGTCTCCATCATGTGCATGCCACCCGTCATTCGCTGCGAAACGGCATTCCCAGTGCGCCGAGCAGGCTGCGGCCCTCCCGGTCAGTGCGAGCCGACGTAACGATGGTGATGTTGAGTCCGTGGATCGAATCGATACGATCGTAGTCGATCTCGAGAAGATGATCTGCTCGTCGACGCCCACCGAGTAGTTGCCTCGACCGTCAAACGAATTGGGGACAGGCCGCGGAAGTCCTTGATGCGAGGCACCGCCACGTTCACGAAGCGTCGAAGAACTCCAACATGTGGTCGCCGCGCAGCGTCACCATCGCGCCGATCTCCATGCCGGCGCGGATCTTGAAGGCGGCGATCGAGCGGCGCGCCCGCGTGGTCACCGCCCGCTGACCGGCGATCAACGTCAGTTCGCTGACCGCAGTATCCAGAAGCTGACGGTTGGTCGGCGCCAGTCCTACCCCCATGCTGAGCAGGATCTTGGTGAGCCTGGGTACCTGCATGACGCTGTCGTAGTTGAACTCCTCGATCAAGGCAGGCAACACCGTGTCCCGGTACAGGCCACGCAGGCGCGGCGCGTAGCCCATGCCCGCGCCGTTGCCGTTTGCCGCGCCGTTCCCGGACGTGCTCTCGCTCACAGTTCCTGCCCCGTGCGTGAGGCGATACGCCGCTTGCCGTCACCGGCCGCGTCATAGCGGATCCTCGAGCGGCCGTCCCGCGTGGTCACCATCACGTTCGACAGGTGGATGGGAGCCTCGATTTCGGAGATACCCCCCTGCTGCCGCTGCTGGGTGGGTCGCATCGCCTTCTTCACCAGATTGAGCCCTTCCAAGACAACCTGCTGCCGCTTGATGTCTATGCGCAGGACGCGGCCGGTCTTGCCCCGCTCCTTGCCAGCTATGACCACCACCTGATCGTCGCGGCGCAGTCTCGGTCGGGCCCGCACGCCGGTCACCACGGGTCTTCGAGTCATCGCTACAGCACCTCGGGAGCCAGCGAGACGATCTTCATGTAGTCACGATCGCGCAGCTCCCGCGCCACCCGGTCCGAAGATGCGCTTTCCGGAAGGATTGCCGGCCTCATCAATCAGAACGCAGGCGTTGTCGTCGAAGCGGATATAGGTGCCGTCGACGCGGCGCGTTTCCTTCCGTGTCCGCACGATGACCGCCCGCACGACCGTCCCCTTGGGTACCGCCGCCGAGGGAATCGCCGTCTTGACAGTGACCACGATCCGGTCGCCGACCCCGGCACTCACGTGACGCGTGCCGCCGAGCACCCTGATGCACTGCACGCGCTTGGCGCCGCTGTTATCGGCGACGTTGAGATAGCTCATCGACTGTACCATCAGCCGCTCCGTTCCACTATTTCGAGGAGCCGCCATCGTTTGTGCCGACTCAGCGGCCGCGACTCCACCACCCGCACACGATCGCCGATCCGGCACTCGTTGTCTGCGTCATGTGCCTTCAAGCGCTTCGACCTGCGGATGTACTTCTCGTACATCCGATGGCGCTTCTGCGAGCTGACCAACACGACGATCGTCTTCTCCATGCGGTCCGAAACCACCGTGCCGGCCAATACTCGGAGACGTTCCGTGCTACTCATCGTTGCCGGATCCCCAGTTCGTATTCGTGAACGATGGTCTTGGCCCCGAGCCAGTCTGCGCCTGAGAAGGCGTACGCTGACCGGGTTGTCCAGGTGGCCAACCACCGCATCGAACCGCGCCTTGCGGTACTCCGTCACCAGCTCATCCTGCTTCAGGAGCAGCTCCGGATAAGCCAGCTCGCGGTACTGCTCTTTCATGCCAGTTTCCCTATGCCTGTGCTGCAAACAGGCTGCCGCGGGCACAGATCGTAGTCTTGATCGGCAGCTTGCTGCCGGCCAGCGTGAGCGCTTCCCGCGCCAGACCGTCTTCCACCCCGGCCAACTCGAACATCACCGTCCCGCGCCTGACCGGCGCGACATGGTATTCCACGTTTCCCTTGCCCTTGCCCATACGGGTCTCGGCTGGCTTCATGGTGTACGGCATGTCAGGAAAGATCCTGATCCATACCTTGCCGCCACGCTTCACGTGACGGGTCATCGCCACTCGGGCGGCCTCGATCTGCCGATTGGTGATCCATTTGTGTTCCAGGGCCACCAGGCCGAAATCGCCGAACGCCAAGTCCTGCTGACGTTCGCCCCCACGCCGCAGCGGCCCGCCGCGCTGGCGTTTGCGAAACTTCTCCCGCTTCGGAGCAAGCATCGATTACGCCGCCTCCTCGCGGCTGCGCTGCCGCTTCAGCAGCAGGCCGGCGTCGTCCTTCTTGTCGCGCCCGAACACCTCGCCGTGAAAGACCCATACCTTGATGCCCAACGAGCCGACGGTGGTCACGGCCAAGGTAAAGCCGTAGTCGATGTCGGCTCGGAAGGTGTGGAGCGGGATCCGTCCCTCCTTGTACTGCTGCACCCGCGACATCTCCGCGCCGTTCAGCCGCCCGGCGACGCGGATCTTGACCCCCTGCACGCCGGCGCGCATCGCGTTGTTGATCGCCATCTTCATAGCCCGCCGGAACGAAGCCCGTCCGCGCAACTGGCGTGCGATGTTCATCGCGATCAACTGCGCGTTGGTTTCCGGCCGCTGGATTTCCTTGATCTTGATTTGGATCTTCTTGCCCACCTGACGCTGCAGCTTCGCGCCCAGACTCTCGATGTTCTGGCCCTTGGCGCCGATCACCACGCCGGGACGACCGGTGTGGATGATGAGAGCGATGCGCTGCGGATGCCGGATGATCTCCACCTGAGCGATATCGGCACCGCGGGTCTCCGATGCCGAGTCGATCGTCTTGCGCAGCGCCAGATCCTCGTGCAGCGTCGCCGCGTATTCGCGCGGGTCGACGTACCACTTGCTGCGCCACGACTGATTGATCCCCAAGCGGAGCCCAATCGGGTTGACCTTTTGTCCCATGCTACTTCATTTCCTCCACCGCCACCGAGATATGACAGAGGCGGCTCATTTGGCGATCGGCTCGGCCGCGCCCGCGCATCCAGATGCGCTTCAGCCGCGGACCGTCGAGCACCTGCAACTCGCGAACGTACAGCGTCTCCTCATCAAGGTCGTCATTGTGAAAGAGCGCGTTGTCGCCGGCCGATTTGATCGTCTTGCGCAGGATCGCCGCTCCCTTGTGTGGCATGGTCTCCAGCAGTGCCAGCGCTTCGGCGTAGGGCTGGCGGCGCACCAAGTCGGCGAGCGGGCGCACCTTGCGGGGCGAGATGCGCAGGAAACGGCTATGCGCAGTGTAGCCGCGCTTGCCGCGGACCATCAGCGACGCACCGCCTTGCGGTCCGATCCGGCGTGCCCCCGGAACACCCGGGTCGGAGCGAACTCCCCGAGCTTGTGGCCCACCAAGTTCTCCGTGATGTAGACCGGGATCCAGTTCTTTCCGTTGTAAACCGAGATGTTCATGCCGACCATTTGGGGAATGATGGTCGAACACCGCGAATAGGTCTTCACCATCTCCTTGCCCGACGACTTGGACGCCTCAATCACCCGCTTGAACAGGCCCGGCGAGACGAACGGCCCTTTCTTGATCGATCGCGACATACCCTACCTCGTCACCCGCAGCTCTCGTGCCATCAACGTTTGCCGACGATGAAGTCGCTCGATCGCTTGCGCTTGTTCCGTGTCTTCATCCCCTTTGTCAACTTTCCCCATGGCGATACCGGATGGCGGCCGCCGGACGCCTTGCCTTCGCCGCCGCCATGCGGGTGGTCAACCGGGTTCATGGCCACGCCGCGAACCTTGGGCCGCCGGCCCTTCCAGCGGGCCCGACCGGCCTTGCCGAGGGCCACGTTCATGTGATCCTGGTTGCCGATTTCCCCGATCGAGGCCATACAGCGCACGTGGATGAGACGCGTCTCTCCGGAAGGCAATCTCACCGTCGCGTATTCGCCCTCGCGGGCGATCAGGGCAGCGCCGTTGCCGGCCGAACGCACCAGTTGCCCGCCACGGCCCGGCGTCAGCTCCACATTATGAATCGCGATGCCCAGCGGCAGGTCGCCGATTGGCAGAGCATTGCCGATTTCGATCGGCGAGCCGGGACCGCTCTGCACCGTCGCGCCAACGCGCAAGCCGCGCGGTGCCAGCAGGTAGCGCTTGTCCCCGTCGGCAAACACCACCAACGCCAAGTCCGCGCTGCGGTTGGGATCGTACTGGATGGCATGAACCATGCCCGGCACGCCGTGGTTGTCCCGCTTGAAGTCCACCATGCGGTACTGGCGCTTGTGGCGCCCACCCTTGCGGCGAACGCTGATGCGCCCCTTGGAGCGACCCGCGCGATAGGCACGCGCTTCGGTGAGCCGCTTCTCGGGCCTTTCATCGCTCAGCTCGGAGAAGTCGCGGACGCTGGTATAGCGCGATGACGGTGTCGTCGGCTTACGGGTACGGACAGCCATCACACGCCCTCGAAAATCTCGATGGTCTGGTCGCCCGACAGCGTCACGATCGCTTTCTTCCATGCGGCGGTGTAACCGCGCCGATAACGAACCCGCTTCGGCTTGCGGGGGACGTTGATGATATTGCAACTCACCGGCTTGACGCCGAACAGCCGCCGCACCTCAGCAAGCACCTCATATTTACACGCCCGCGGATCGACCCGGAAGCTGTACTTGCGCGATTCTCGCAACGCGTTGGACTTCTCGGTCACCAGCGGCTCGAGAATTACCTCACCGATCATCGTCACCCCTTTGATCCTCGCCGTAACCGGCGTTCAAATCGGCCACCGCATCGCGCTGCAGCAGCACCCGGTCCCCATACAGCAATTCATGCACCTTGAGCCGCTGGCTGGAGAGAATACGCAGCGAAGGCAGGTTGCGTCCGGCGCGCTTCGTCATCGGGTCGTCCGCGCCCAGCACCAGCACGGTCTTGAATCCCGGTGACAGCGCGCTCAACGTAGCCGCAAGCTCGCGCGTCCGGCCCGACGGGCACTGTACGCCGTCGACGACCATCAGCTGATTCTCGCGGCATTTCGAGGTGAGCACCGACCGGATCGCCAGCCGCTTCACCTTGCGCGGTATCCGATGCCGGTAGTCGCGCGGCTGCGGGCCGAAGGTCGTTCCGCCGCCGACCCACAACGGTGATCGCCTCGATCCGGCGCGAGCGCGCCCGGTACCCTTCTGCCGGTGCGGCTTGCGACCGCCGCCACGCACCTGGCCCCTTCGTTTGGTCGCGGCCGTTCCGGTGCGCTGATTGGCCAGTTCGTTGCGCAGCGCTTCGTAGATCGCGCCGTCCGAGACCTCGATGTCGAACACCCGCTTGTTCAACTCCACTTCTCCGGAAGGGTTTCCGTCCGCGCCAACCACCGGAACTTTCACACCCCACCGCCTTTGCCGCCATCGGCCCGCTTCTTCTTTGCGCTCGCCACCAGCACATGCCCGCCACGGCGCCCCGGAACCGGACCGGCGATCAACAGCAGCCGCCGTTCCTCGTCGATGCGGAGCAACTCCAGGTTCTGCACCGTGGCGCGCCGTCCACCCATGCGGCCTGCCATGCGGGTGCCTTTCAGCACCCGGGAAGGCCACGCCGATTGCCCGGTGGACCCGCCGGTGCGGTGGAACTTGGAGCCATGCGACGCCCCGCCGCCCCGAAAGCCATGCCGCTTGATCACGCCCTGAAATCCCTTGCCGAGCGACACTCCCCGCACATCCACGAAGCGCCGGCTGGCGAAGATGGACAGGTCCAGCGGCTTCCCACCTCGAATTCGCCGTCGAAGTCACGCAACTCCATGATACGGCGCGTCGGGTCGATACCCGCAGGGAACTGACCGGCATACGGCTTGGTCAATCGTCGCTTGCGAGCCGCACCGAGCACCACGGCGTCATACCCGTCGCCATCGGCAACGCGAGTACCGATCACGACATTGGGCTCGACGCGCACGAGCGTCACCGGGCGCACCTCGCCCGCATCGTCGAATACCTGCGTCATGCCCATCTTGACGCCAACTACCGCAACCACGCCGCCCGCGCTCCCTTATTGCCTGATCTCGACATCGACGCCGGCCGGCAGCTCGAGCTTCATCAGCGCATCCATCACGGCGCTGCTCGGCTCCAGAATGTCGATGAGCCGCTTGTGGGTTCGCATCTCGAACTGTTCGCGCGACTTCTTGTAGACGTGCGGCGATCTCAGCACGGTGAATTTGTTGATCCGGGTCGGCAGCGGGATCGGGCCCGCGACCTGCGCTCCCGCCTTTTGCACCGTTTGCACGATCGCGCGCGAACTCTGATCCACGAGCTCAATGTCGAACCCGCGCAGCCGTACCCGAATCCGTTCCGTAGCCATCGCGCTGTACCAGCCTGTCTCCCCTCGACCCTCAGTCCAGGATCTCGGTCACCGCACCGGCACCCACGGTGCGCCCGCCTTCGCGGATGGCGAAGCGCAGTCCGCGCTGGACGGCGATCGTGTTGATCAGCTCGATGTTGAGCTCGGTGCTGTCGCCGGGCATGACCATTCCTTCCCTTCCGGGAGGGTCACGCTGCCGGTGATGTCGGTGGTTCGGAAGTAGAACTGCGGCCGGTATCCGGGGAAGAACGGCGAATGGCGCCCTCCCTCTTCCCGAGTGAGGGCATAGACCTGCGCCTTCACCTTCTTGTGCGGCGTGATGGAACCGGGCTTGGCCAGCACCTGGCCGCGCTCGACATCGTCGCGCTCCACACCGCGCAGCAGTGCGCCGATGTTGTCCCCGGCCTGTCCTTCGTCGAGCAGCTTGTTGAACATTTCGACGCCGGTTACCACCGTCCTTTCGGTATCACGAATCCCGACGATCTCCACCGTCTCGCCGACCTTGACGCGACCGCTCTCCACGCGGCCCGTCACGACCGTCCCGCGTCCGACGATCGAGAAGACATCCTCGATCGGCATCAGGAATTCCCGGTCCACCTCCCGTTCCGGCAGCGGAACGTAGGAGTCCATCGCCGCGAGCAACTCTTCGATCGGCCGGTTCGCGTCCGCATCGTCCGAATTCTCCATCGCGGCGAGCGCCGATCCCTTGATGATCGGCGTATCGTCGCCAGGGAAATCATACTTGTTGAGGACATCCTTGATCTCCTCTTCCACCAGCTCCAGGAGCTCCTCGTCGTCGACCATGTCGACCTTGTTGAGGAACACGATGATCGACGGCACCTCCACCTGACGGGCCAGCAGGATGTGCTCGCGCGTCTGCGGCATGACCGAGTCCGGTGCGGACACGACCAGCACGGCCCCGGTCCATCTGAGCGGCGCCCGTGATCATGTTCTTGATGTAGTCGGCGTGCCCGGGGCAGTCGACGTGTGCGTAGTGCCGGCCCTCGCTCTGATACTCGACGTGCCTGGTGTTGATCGTGATACCACGTGCCTTCTCTTCCGGCGCGTTGTCGATCTGGTCGTAGGTCATCATCTTGTCGCCGTACTTTCTGGCGCAGTGCTGGGTGATCGCCGCCGTCAGCGTCGTCTTCCCGTGGTCAACGTGCCCGATCGTTCCGACGTTCATGTGCGGCTTGGTGCGATCGAATTTCTCCTTCGCCATCCCTTCTGTCTCCTTGCCCTCTTCTCCTCAAGCTACGGGAGTATGGTTCCGTTCCGCCGCGCGGCCCGCGCGTTGGATTATCTCTTCCTGTACCGCAGCGGGGACGCGGCGGTAGGCAGCGAACTGCATCGTATGATTGCCGCGCCCGCTGGTTATCGAGCGCAGCGTAGTAGCATACCCGAACATGGACCGCAGCGGCACGGCGGGCGGTGACCACCTTGCCGCCGAAGCGGTCGTCAACCGATGCTATCTGACCTGACCGGGCACCCAGATCCGCGATCACATCGCCCAGATGGACGTCGGGCGCGCACACTTCGACGTCCATGATCGGCTCCAGGATCGCCGGTCCGGCACGGCGCACCGCGTCGTGGTACGCCATCGTGGCGGCCACAGTGAAGGCGATCTCGCTCGAGTCCACGTCGTGGTAAGAGCCGTCGAGCAGCACGGCGCGAAAGTCCACCATCGGATAGCCGGCGATGGAACCCGTCTCCTTGACCTGAGCGATCCCCTTCTGCACCGCGGGGAATGTACTCCTTCGGCACGGCGCCGCCTACGATCTTGCTCTCGAACACGAAGCCCGCGCCCGGCGGCAGCGGCTCGAAACGCATCACGACATGCCCGTATTGACCGCGGCCGCCGGTCTGTCGGACGAAGCGTCCTTCGGCCTCGGCCACCCTGGTCAGCGCCTCGCGATAGGCCACCTCCGGCCGGCCGACATCGGCATCGACCGCAAATTCCCGCAACAACCGCTGAACCAGCACGTCCAGATGCAACTCGCCCATCCCGGAGATGATCGTCTGGCTGACCTCGGCATCGTAGCGAACATGGAAGGTCGGATCCTCCTCGGACAACGCACGCAGGGCCAAGCCCAGCTTGTCGGACTCCGTCTTCGACTTCGGCTCGATGGCGATCGACACGACCGGGTCCGGGAACACCATCGACTCGAGCAGCAACGGCGCGCTGGCGTCGCAGAGCGTATCGCCGGTGGTGGTGCGCCGTGCGCCTACCACCGCGCCGATGTCGCCGGTCCGCAGGGCATCGACCTCCTCGCGGCGATTGGCGTGCATGCGCAGGATGCGCGTGGCGCGTTCCCGAACGTCCGCGGTGGCGTTGAATACATACGATCCGGACGGCAGCACGCCCGAGTAGACGCGCACGTAGGTGAGCCGGCCGACGTACGGATCGGTGGCGACCTTGAAGGCCATCGCCGAGAACGGCTCATCGTCGGCAGGCTTGCGGTCGACGTACTCACCGTCGGCCGGCCGTATGCCCGACACCGGTTCCTTGTCCAGCGGCGACGGCAGGTAGTCGACGACCGCGTCCAAAAGCAGCTGGACGCCTTTGTTCTTGAATGCCGCTCCGCAGAGCACCGGAACAACTCGCCTGCGCATGGTCACCTTCCTGAGGACCGTACCGGACACGCTCCGGGGAGATGTTCCCGCCGGCCAGGTACTCCTCCATGAATGCGTCGTCGTGATCGGCGAGCTTTTCGTACAGATCGATCCGGTGTCCTTCGGCCGTCGGCAGGAGGTCCGCCGGGATCGGCCGTGCGCGGTACTCGGTCCCGTGCTCGGAGTCGTCCCACTCGACGATCTGCATGGAGACGAGGTCGATGATGCTGGAGAACCCGGCGCCCTCCGTCACTGGAATCTGGACCGGCACCGCGTCGGCGCCGAGCTTGTCGTGCAACTCGTCCACGACATCGGCGAAGCGCGCCCCGGTCCGATCCATCTTGTTGACGAACACGATGCGCGGCACCTTGTAGCGGGTGGCTTGCTTCCACACCCTGTCTCGCTCTGCGGCTCGACGCCGCCGACCGCGCAGAACACGGCCACCGCGCCGTCCAGGATGCACAGCGAGCGCTCCACCTCCACGGTGAAGTCGACATGGCCGGGCGTGTCGATGATGTTGATGTCGTGATCGCGCCACGGGCAGGAGGTGGCGGCGGCGGTGATGGTGATACCACGCTCCTTCTCCAACTCCATCCAGTCCATCTCGGCCTGACCGTCGTGGACCTCGCCGAGCTTGTGCGTGCGGCCCGTGTAATAGAGCATGCGTTCGGTGGTGGTGGTCTTGCCGGCATCGATATGCGCCATGATGCCGATGTTGCGCGTCCGCTCCAGTGCGCTCGACCGCCTCGATACACGCCGATTCGTCCGTTCCGCCATCGCCTGCAGTACCTGAGTTGCCTGGGTCTTCCGTTTACCAGCGGTAGTGCGCGAACGCCCGGTTGGCCTCGGCCATCCGGTGCGTGTCCTCTTTCTTCTTGGCGGCCGAACCGGTGTTGTTGTACGCGTCCAGAAGCTCAGCGCCCAGACGCTCGGCCATCGAACGCCCGCGACGCGCCCGGCGAACTGCAGCAGCCAGCGAATCGCCAGCGCGAGCTGCCGTTCTTCGCGAACCTCCACGGGCACCTGGTAGGTGGAGCCGCCGACCCGACGGGACTTCACTTCCAGCATCGGCTTGACGTTGTTCATCGCCTTGCGGAACATCGTCGATCGGCTCTCCCTCTCCCTTGCCGTCCAGGTAATCAAGCGCCTGATAGAAGGTACGCGCTGCCAGCGACTTCTTGCCGCGCAACAGCATGCTGTTGATGAACCGTCCCGCCAGCGGGTCGCGATACCGCGCATCGCGCACGTCGCGCCGCTGCGTACTTACGCTACGTCTTGGCATTTCGTCGACTCCCTCAATAATCCCGCTTTACGACGTGGGTGACCGTTAGGTCCTGGGCTTCTTGGTGCCGTACTTCGATCGCGCGCGGCGCCGATCATCAACACCGAGGGTGTCCTTGGCTCCGCGCACGACGTGGTAGCGGACACCGGCCAGATCCTTGACGCGCCCGCCACGGATCAGCACGACGGAGTGCTCCTGCAGGTTGTGCCCGATCCCCGGGATGTAGGCGGTCACCTCGACACCCGATACCAGCCGGACGCGGGCGACCTTGCGCAGAGCGGAGTTCGGCTTGCGCGGAGTGATGATCATCACCCGCGTGCACACGCCGCGCTTCTGCGGGCATGACTGCAGCGCAGGACTCTTGCTGGTCCTGGTGCTGCGCTTGCGTCCGTTCCGGACGAGCTGATTTATCGTCACTCCGTTCTCCTCACACTCATACGAACCGCCCACTTCACGGGTACACGCTTGCTACCGGCCGACATGCGCGACTCAGGTTGACTGACAGATGTCTACGGTCTGCATGTCTACGGTCTGCAAAAACCGAATCACAACCCTACGCGAGTTCGCCACGGACAGTCAAGTACCCCCGACCTACCTTTTCCTGCGGCATGGCGAAGGGCACGTAGTCCCGCCGCCTCCGCTTCGGGGCTTGCTTGCCGTAACGTACCGAGCCGGGCGCGGCTCGTCAAGCAGGCATCCCGCTGCCGCCCGCCGGCTCTCGCGAGCTCAGACGGTAGGCACCTCGGTCACCGGATCACCGAGCTCCTCCGACATCATTTCGGCGCGGATCTCCGCCTCCCGTTCCTCCTGTTCCTTGCGCTTCTGCTCGAGGATCCGCTGCACGGTGACGTCGAGGTTCTCCATGTTCTCGTCGAACAGCTTGACGTCGCGGTATGCGCGGATCCCGGTGCCGGCCGGGATCTGGTTGCCGATGATCACGTTCTCCTTCAGCCCGCGCAGATAGTCGGACGATCCGGCGATCGCGGCGTTGGTCAGCACCCGCGTGGTCTCCTGGAACGACGCAGCGGATATGAAGGAGTCGATGTTCAGCGACGCCCGCGTGATGCCGAGCAGCATCGGCTGCGCCACCGCCGGCTGACCGCCTTCCCGTATCACCTTCTCGTTCTCGTTCCTGAACCGATTGCGGTCGACCTGCTGGCCGAAGATGAACTCCGTGTCGCCTACCGAGACGATCTCTACCTTCTTCATCATCTGCCGGATGATCATGCCGATGTGCTTGTCGTTGATGCGGACGCCCTGCAGCCGGTAGACCTCCTGGATCTCGTTGACCAGATAGTCCTGCAGCGCGTTCTCGCCACGGATCGCCAGCACGTCGTGAGGATCGGTCTGTCCCTCGCACAGCGGCTCGCCGGCCTCCACGGTGTCGCCGTCGCGCACCAGCAGATGCTTGCCCATGGGCACGGCGTGCTTGTGCTCATCGCCGAAGAAATCCTCGACCGACAGCACCCGCTTGCCCTTGCTGATGCCGCGAAAGTGCAACACCCCGTCGATCTTCGCCAGCACCGCCGGATTTCTGGGCCGGCGTGCTTCGAACAGCTCGCCGACGCGTGGCAGACCGCCGGTGATGTCGCGGGTCTTGACGCTCTCCTTGAGCAGCTTGGCCAGCGTGCGGCCCGCCTTGACCTCATCGCCCTCCGAGACGTTCAGGTAGGCGGCCCCCGGCAGATAGTAGACCGCCTCGTCGCCGTCGTCGGTCTCCACCACGATGCGCGGCTGCAGGGTCTCCGCCGAGAATTCGGTGATCTTCTTCTCGATCTTGCCGGTGTCCTCGTTGATCTCCTCGCGCAGCGTGGTGCCTAGCACGATGTCGTCGAACCGCACCGTGCCGGTCACCTCGGCGATGATCGGCTCCGCGAACGGGTCGAAGTAAGCCATGGTCTCATCCTCGGGGACGATCTGCTCAGTCCCCACCATCAGCTCCGAACCGTTGCGGATGTCGACGCGGCGAGGCTGGGCGGTGATCAGCACCCGCCGATCCACGTGGTGCACGTAGCCGATCTCCGTGGCGGCGATCCGGTCGCCGTTGCGGCGCACCAAAGGATCGCCCGCAAGCACTTGCTGACCTTCGTTGGCCAGCAAGTCGTCGTCTCCGCCCAGCGGGATTTGTTGCAACACGCGGTTGACGATCAGGTGTCCCTTGCGCGTGAACAGCCTGTTGCCGTTGTCCAGCTCCACCACGTTGCCGTGGATCTCGCGGATCACGCACGGATACGGAAGGTAGACGCGGTTCTCCTCGCTCACCCGGGTCGCCGCACCGCCGATGTGAAAGGTCTTCATGGTCAGCTGCGTGCCCGGCTGCCCGATCGACTGCGCGGCCACGATCCCCACCGCTTCGCCGATCTCCACGGCGCGGTTCGAGGCGAGATTGCGGCCGTAGCACTTTCGGCACACGCCGTGCTTGGACTCACAGGTCAGCACGGTGCGGATACGCACGGTCTCGATGCCGATCTGCTCGATGTGCTCGGCGAGCTCGTCGGTGACCTCCTCGTTGAAGTCGACGATGATCGCGCCTGAGATCGGGTGCTTGACCCGATCCAGGATGAAGCGGCCGGCGATGCGGTCGCGCAGCGGTTCGACGATGTCCTCGCCGTCCTTGATGGCCTGCCGATCGATGCCGTTGATGGTTCCGCAGTCGTCTTCGCTCACCACCACGTCCTGGGCGATGTCCACCAGCCGGCGGGTCAGGTAGCCGGCGTCGGCGGTCTTGAGCGCCGTATCGGCCAGCCCCTGCGGGCGCCGTTGGTCGAGATGAAAAACTCGATCACCGACAGCCCTTCCTTGAAGTTGGAACGAATCGGCAGCTCTATGATCTCGCCGGACGGGTTGGCCATCAGTCCGCGCATGCCGGCGAGCTGGCGGATCTGCTGGCGGCTACCGCGGGCGCCGGACGACTCCATCATGTGCATGGGGTTGAACCCCTGACGGTCCGACTCCAGCTCGGCCATCAGCTCGTTGGTGATGTCGTCGTTGGTGGTGCTCCACACCTCGATGACGCGGTTGTAGCGCTCCTCGTTGGTGATATGTCCCTGCAGGTACTGGTGGTGGATCTCCTCCACCTGGTGGCTGGCGCGATCGATGAGCTCGGGCTTCGAGGCCCGGCACCAGGATGTCCTCCATACCGATGGTCGCGCCGAACTTCGTCGCGTAATGGAACCCGAGTTCCTTGATCGTATCGAGCGCCTGGACCGTGATGTGCGGCCCATGGTCGCGATAGCAGTCCGCGATCAGTCTGCGCAGCTTGCCATCATCGAGCTGCTCGTTGATGAAATCCATCTCCTCCGGGAGGTCCTCGTTCAGCAGGACCCGCCCGGCTGTGGTCTCGATGTACTCGTCGCCCAGCTTCAACCGGACCCTGGCATGGTAGTCGACCGAGCGCGCGTCCACCGCCCGCAACACCTGCGCGGAGGTGGCGAAGTGCTTTCCCTCGCCGGCTGCGCCGGCCCTGGAGCCGGTCAGATAGGCGATGCCCAGGATCATGTCCTGGGTCGGCACCACGATGGGCGACCCGTTGGCCGGGTCGAGCAGGTTCTGGCTGGACAGCATCAGCGTCCAGCTTTCGATCTGCGCGTCGGGGGTGAGCGGCACGTGCACCGCCATCTGATCGCCGTCGAAGTCGGCGTTGAACGCGGCGCACACCAGCGGGTGCAGCTTGATCGCCTTCCCCTCCACCAGCACCGGTTCGAATGCCTGGATGCCGAGCCGATGCAGCGTGGGCGCCCGGTTCAGAAGGACCGGATGCTCGCTGACGACCTCTTCCAGGACCGCCCACACCTCCGGGGTCTCCTCCTCCACCAGTGTCTTGGCTTTCTTGATGTTGTAGACGACGTCGTCTTCCACCAGCTTCTTCATGATGAAGGGCTTGAACAGCTCCAGCGCCATCTTGGTGGGCAGCCCGCACTGGTGCAGCTGAGCTCGAGGTATTTCATCCTATCCACGATCATCCTCGCACAATTTACCCCGCCCAGTAGCCTTTATGTCACGCCGTCTGCCTAGTGACGGTTATGTCGGAAGCGCCCCATTGCTTGCCGCGCTTAGAATGTCAGATTCAAGGATCTCTCTCGAGGCTATGGTGTTTGGGCCGGTGTCAATTTTTGACTAACACTTATCGCTCTTCTTTAGATGTTGGTCGAACAGCGCGTTCCACCGCCTCATTGCCAATCATGCGCTTTAGTGCGATCGATGACTTTTCGTGTCTATATCCCGGCGCGCTCTCAGGGTAGCACGCACAGCATCGCTTTATTGATTTCGCTGCTTCTGGCGGTTGTTGACACGGTGCATCACCGAGCACGGGTATTGATTTTCCTGATCGTTTTCAGGTCCGAATGTCGCGAACGACCGCCGTCCAGCTTTGCCCACATCGCCGCAACTCCGGCCCCTTTCCTTCGGGCTCTTTCCCGGTGCTGATTTTTTGTCGTAGTCAACCCTCCACTTGCGGCTCCTCTTGTGTGTCGTGCCCGAGTTCGTCGGTGCGAAGGTTCTGACTGATCTACGAGCGCTTCAACGAGCACTGTGGGTCCGGTTCTTTGATTGTCGACTCTTTGTCCATCCATCTTTGCAGACGGCCCTGTGCATCATTACCTTTTTTTTGTCGCTTTTCTTTTTCTTATTACAGGTCGAGCGACCTTCCAGCAGCGCCTTGCGGATTTCCCCGGCGGCCGATTGTTTCTCGGCGGTGAACACATTATGAAGTCATCGCCCTATGCCCGGTCATGGTGTTCGTAGGGAATCTCCCTTCGGTGAGGGCTGCCTCCGCTTGGTCGCGTTCGCCGGATCGATGGACGATGTACTTCTGTAGTGAGAGAGTAGAACGGAGCCGCGCGCTCGGGCATTGGATTCCAGTTCAACAACCCCATTTCCGTTTCCCGCGATGGAACATTGAGCGGTAGTTATACCAAACAGATGTTTTGCACCACCACGGCCCCGGGCGTCAGCTTCGATGTGGCCCACATGCGCTCGCGGCGCTTTTTAATTGTTCGCGGATGGGTGACCTCCACCTGGCAGCACTTTTTCCCTTTTGGTCGAACGATTTAAACCTCTTTAGCAGATATTGTCGCAGCGATGACTTTGAACTTTCCGCCGTAGCACTCCCATCCTTGTGTATGTGCCGAAGATCGCTCGTCAGAACAGACCTTCCTTCTCGGGCGCAACGTGCTTTGGTATGCTGTGTTTTGGTCTCCTGTGCTTCTGACACTCGCCATACGACCAGTCACAGTGATTTACTCCACGGCGCCGCCTGATGCGATATGTTTGTGATCTTTGCGTTTAAATTTCCCTTCGTGCTCACGATGATCCCTCTCCCCATTACTGTCGGATTCTTCTGCGACGCGGGCCGCGAGTTTTCATCGAAATTCCTAGACCATATTTCGCACAACGGGCTCCAGACCTCCGGTGGTGAT